CTACCAAGGGTAATACAGTTTCTTCATCTTTGTATTGCTGAAGCTCTGGTCATTCACATAGAAAAACCAGAGCTGTGCATACAAAAGAGAATTACTCAACCACTTCTACTATCATGATAACAACTTTGTTGACTTATGATGGCTTAATTTTTGTTTGTTTACTTGTTCCTCTAATTGCTTATAGTTCCTGTATTCATTTAGAACTCTTACGTAATTTCACATTCTCTACTTTGTTTATGTGTGTTTCCTGAGTACAACTCAATCATCAGACTACTCACATTGTTACGTAACTCCTTTTTAACAACTGTTTGTGACAACTCATCACCTTTGTTACTACCCTAGATTCATTAACGCCCAATTTTCTTCACCGTTTTCGCATTACATAACTCCACCCAAAACTTACTTATTCTAACCTCTTTAGTTAAAATAACCATAACCGATTGTATTTTTGTTTGACGAACACATACATAGAAAATAATAATCTATATATAAAATTGCGATTGTACAGCCAAGAAAATGAATTCGCCGAAAAGAAACTCTTCACTGAACTAGTTTGAATCGATAACCAATTTAAAGAGAGGATTTGAACAAAGCACAGAAAACAAATATACCAGGATAACACAAGCTAATTCTGATTATTTTTTTGCAAGTACTAACAACCTAAAGAAAAATCAAAATATACAAATTACAAAACATATTTTTGTCACGATAACAAGTTATAGATAGAAACTATAAATAACATAAACTAGAAACGATTCAAACAGTTAAAATATTACTTGTGAAGTGGATTGATTATTTATAGGAAAATTAGAAGAATACTCTTGAAGAAAGTAGTCAGAGTCCGAAATTTCGGAGAGAAGTAAAGCTTAACTAGGACACGTATGTCAGTAAAAAGATTGCACAAATGCAAAAATATTTTACAATAGCAAGATGAGGAAGGTGAAGGACAACATTTAGAGGGGAAAAACAATTCAAATCGTCACGCTCCATAAACCAAACATAAAGGTAGAGAAAAACGAAATCCAGGAAACTGAAATGTACGGATAATATCTGTGAGAAGTTCGTGCATTGTGGAATAGACCAATTAATTATTGTGTGTACACAACCAGTGAAATATAATTATGATTAATTGAAATGTACAGAAGAAAGAAAAATCACCGAGAATCTAGTAAATCCTGGAGATCACATGGAGTGAAGTCGTCTGCAAAAATTGAGAACGATTTTAGCCAAGTCACCGATAGTCTCCACCCACTCCACTGGTTCTCAAAGTATCGATGATCCCAGTGAGGGGTTTACACCTCCCAACGTCGTTGGCTCAGATCAACAGTCAAAGACTACATGGATTGACCTCACGTTTTGATTTGACCCACCCCCACCCCGTCACTCTTTACCAACCTAGCTAGTCGCGTGCCAGTTAACATTTCTAGAGGAGGAAGTTGATGGCTCGGAATACGCAACATGTGTCCTAGCCATCTCAATCGATTCACTTTCACAACCTCTCAGACTGACTTACTCTCATTATCTAACACCCCATACCTTGCCTCAATATTACTCACCATGTTACACCAATTAGTGCGGGAGATTGAACTTAAACACCTATGATCAAAAACAACTAGCCTTTTCCAATATCCCACTCTCAATACCCAAGTCTCACAGCCATAACAGAGGGCAGAGCGAAGTGCTACCCACTGCACACGTCTTTCGTTCGATAGCCGGATATCACGTCTACATCCGAGATGGGGTAAGTTGGCAAATGCCACACGAAGCTCTTGTATCTGTTCTGAGATTTCTTCATCAGCCAGTCCATTGGGACTCAACGAAATTCCCGAATAAGTGCAGTGATCAAAATACTCTACCACTTCACTATCTTTACGATGGGAGTCGGTGCAGTCTAGTCCTGTAGCGTAATTTCAAGTCTCAAAGGAGCAAACCATATGCCGAACATTAGAATATTTCTCCTCAAGGTGCTTAGAAGACTTTAGTTTACCAGCGTCTTCACCGAGAATGACAATATCATCCACATATTCTAAGTCAACAAGTCTATATCCTGGTAACAAGTCAATCGCTGAAGACAGTTAAGATCAATTCCATCAGTACATCTATGATGAAATTAAACAGAACGGGGACATTGGGGATCACCACTGGCTGGCACTACCTTACATGAAAATTCTCCAAAAGCTATTACACGGCTGCATGATTTCGAGTAGGGTGCCTGGCTTAGTGTGACATATTCCCTTAGTACTCACTTAACCACTAAACATCGCCACAGAGTCTCTCGGTCAACAGATCCAAATTCTTTCAGGTCAAGAAATATAGCAATTGTTGGGCACCAGTTAGTATTGCTATGTTCCAGAATTTGTAGGAGGTTGACGACAAGTTTAGCAGACCCTATTCCTGCCTGGTTTCCTCGGGTTTGTTCCTCCCGAGTACCACTTAGCCTACCCATCATTACTGAATCTAGGATATTAGATGCTATATTAGTTAAGTTAATACCTCTACGATTACCACAGGAAGACTACCTTCTCACATACTGGAATAATCAATGATTTACACCAGTCTAACACAAATACCTATGATTCCCAGAGATATCATAGTTAACGCGAACAACAGTTTATCATCCCCGTCGCTAAACACCTCTGAAGTCATTTCATCAGGTGACTGAAACTGACTGGATATTAGGTCAGGTTTCGTGAGTCTTGTTGTCAATCTCAGATATGCGTTTAGCTTAGTGATCTCGTTAAGCTTGAGCGTAGCGCCTTCATTGCTGCTTGTTTTTTTATATCCATCCAGTCGTAGACATATACGTTCACGGACTAGGGCGCAATCGGAGTCTACACACGTATTCCACAAGGAATGGCAGTCTTCTACCAACCCTTCCGTCAGTAGCTTACCGCTATATGGTCTGTTTGAGTCCATTGTTAATTTGATGGAAGTCACCATGTTAGGCAATGTCTCTTTGTGTTTGAAGTTAGTACTGATCAGAAATAGATGACTGTCTCAAGATAACTATGGAAGGCGATCACCGCTGCAGACCGACTGCATGGAACTCCCCATGGCTTCCAATATACTTCTCTCAATAGCACAACTTCCATATTTCAGTGTTGAAATAGCCTGTTAAAAAGACCATATGTGAGTGCTTTCCCCTCCCTCCCAGCAACAAATTAGACAGCTTTTGGTAGCACTCATTCTCTATTTCGTGCGAAATGCACTCTGTTGCGGGGGATGTAACTGAAGATTATAAAAAGACATCAACGGGTGGTAGAGCAGTCCTTCCTTTTTCTTATGGACCTGTTTAAGCGGACATCATACGACTATTTACCGGGGTCCTATCGACTAGGGCATTTTCGCCCTAGAACTCAATGCTACCACTACATCTGCGAGTCCTCGCAAAAATGTCGAAGAATCTCCTGATAGCCATCAGGTGGATTTTGTAAATCCATACGGTTGACCACGAGGGGTGGGTGGGTGAATAATCACACTTGGGTCATGTACACGTGACTACAAAACACATCCATGACTAGAAACGCCAAATTTATGGTCAGTGAAGCATGTTTGACATAGGGTTCTGACATTAAGCGCTCTAATCCGAAGTTGTCAGAGTGCTGTCAAGAGACCATCACTTAAGGTTTTCCGGCTCTAACCGCTGTTAGAAGTCACAGAGTTAAGAGAAGACAAGAGACCTCCCTGTGGGATAATATTAACATTACGAGGAAGACAAGATGACGAAGGTGATGGGAGTGAAAGTGGAAGATTGTCAGGCGAGTAAGAATGTACTACTTTCGTGGTCAACCTCTCCTCTCCAGAGCAGGAAGGCGGAATTAATGGTCATTTGAGGAGAATACTTTACTGCAGTACGACTTCGCCAAACAGACTCCCTCCTCCCCTCACACTCCGAAATAGTGTAAACAACTCACATCATGACGGTAACTGAGTGACGGTAATACGCCATATCCAAAGTCGCTTAAGGTCACATGCATTAGAAGAAATACGCACTAACTTATATTTGACAGGAGTGAATCGCATACAGCCAAATCCCAGCATTGTAGCCATAGTCACATTTACAGAACGAGTAATATGTACCTCTGTAGAATAAACAAACTCGTTTACATCTTATTTTGTATGGTTTGACGACAACTGACCTGATTTACAATCTTCTGTGAATAATCCAAATCAGTTGGTTAGTATCAGAAATCTAAGAATGAAACACCTTACTAATGGCATTTTAAACGGACAACAAAATATGATAGGATGTCCCTTAATAATTCCACTGCTTCTTTTCATGTCAAAGCAATCTGCTATGGTTTGAAAGGTCAGTTGACATCTACATGAAGCGAAAGAGTTCTATTCGTATAGGCTATCAGTCTTCAACTCTCTGCGACACAATCCAACTTTGACCACAAAAAATATATCATGTTGTCGGCAGAGACTCAATGAAATTATGGTTGTTCTGTATGCAAGTTATTCCGCAGCGAAAAAACACTCATCTGCTAAACACATTAAATAACAATATAGTAGAAAAATTTAGATATCACCTCAGTAGAAATAGAAAAACGCAAAGCAGTATACTCGTCGACACGTATGGTATTCGCCTGCTTTGTAACAACCATATTAGAAGTGGAGCTTTAGAAAAAATACACAAATCGGTCGAGGTTGTAAATCCGCCGCAACTGATGCGATTACAACGTATGAAATTCAAACTGGATTGAGAAGAAACGGAAAATAGACAGACTAAGACACCGAAAAAGTCAATGATAATCAGATTGTCTAGCAAGAGTTCATGAAACGGCAAGAATCTAGTGCTTTAAGACTCTGCGTGCTGTTCTTTGGAATGGATCACAGTGACGTATATGGGAGCATAATTCATACACTTCTTAAATGCAATATCATCTCATTATTTATTTATAATAACTAAATATCACATTCAGTTTACACATCCTAATTAACAAATACTGACTAAATTACAACAAAATATAATCACTTGAATCATTTAGCAAAGTTCACTGGCAAAAAATGGAATTCTTCTTTAAAAAAAATTCTTCTATAAAAAGAGAGTAACGTACAAAAATGCACTGCGGTTAGTGGTTGATTACATTTCGTCAATCTCCTTTATTTACCTATTTATTGTTCTTTTAGAAAAAAAAATACAAATCTCACAGTTTTGAATAATACCAAAGGCAAATAAAAAAAAATACAAATCACATTTGACAGAGATTCAGTGGAACCCCGTTTATCACAAAAATGAATAATACCCTACTCTCTTTGTGCGTACTGTTTAAGTTGTAGTAAAAAAAGAAATGCAGTTATCAGGAAAGCTATATACAATTTGGAAATTGTGAAAACAACACCAATGAAATCTGATCAAAATATACGATCATTTATGTTAGATGAATCCTGATCGGCTGGAAGACCACAGTATCGATAGGGTTGAGCAATAATTTGTTGATTAGGTCCACCACCGGGGCCATGTCTAGCAGCAAAATTCGGATTGGCAGGATTCCGGAAGTTGTTCGCTATTCCACGTTGTATCGGTAGATTGCATCTTCCTAAATACTCTAAAAACGATCCACCATTCTTTGATAGGCAGCTCAAATCACCTGGAGGTGGATCTTCACGGAAAAAATCGTGCGATAAGGCCTGGTCAGCTTTGAGACGTTTACTTGGATCTAAAACAAGCATTTTATCGATTAAATCAACCGCTGAAGGACAAGAGATCTGTGGCAACAGTTTCTCTTTTAAGTGGCGTTTAATCTCTTTGGGTAGTTTTATTTTCTGATAAGTCTCTAGATTTTGAACTGACGGCCAAACTTCAGGTGTAATGGACCCGCATAGTTGAATGATTAGGTTGAGTTGAAGCAACTCATTTTCACCCTTTAAAGGATGGTAAAAATTATTGAAAGGAGAAGTCAATAAGGGGAAAAATAACTTGTAACAGAATTCAATATAAGTTAATACAGCTTCTACTGAACTAACTACAGAAACATGATACAAAAATTAACTGATCACATACCTATGACTTCTTAGGAGAAAGCTTGTGTACAGAGTAGCGAAAGATTCAACCTGACAGAAAAATGTATGCCAGTCAAATTTATTAGACGAAATTAGAAACAGAAATAGCAAGAGAGAACAATCAGGTATAGGTTTAGGGAATTATTCAAGCTTTCCTAAACTCATAATTCCTATAAAAAAAATATATAATAATAAAGACTGACTCTAGCGAGGAATGATAACCAATCAAATTAAATTCGAACGTCTTAATGAATCAATGCTATCAACAACAACAAAATCCACGAATGTTGAAATAAGAATAGAATTAGTGCACTGTGGTAGAAACATTAGTATTGTCAACTAACACGTATTCCCTTACTAATATGCATATACAAGTGTAGAAACTGAAGAAGTTACCGAAAAGATTATTCTTTGTTCACTAGTCAATATTTGAAATGTACAACAAACATCTTCAGACAATTTGGTTTTATATTTACTAGCTGTAAAAAATCAGAACTTTAAACATTGGCTTATTAGTATCTCTTTTTATCCCAGCAAATGTCGAAAAATCTACATTGGTGATGCTTTGAATTGGCATGTTTCAAATATTTCACTCTACAACTATTTAATTGTATTTTGACTAAAATAACTGTATTTACTGACATAAGTAATAAACACCCACATGATCCCCCTTAGACATGCCAAAGATTGAGTGATTTAAGACAGTCTTAGTAATCTGTATGCATCTGATCTCGGTGTAGAATTATTGTTGACCATAATTGAAAAGCACCTGCAACCCAATAATTATGTAATTTGTTTTGGTAGCGTGTGGTGGTAGGACAATATTCCCGGTTATAAAGAGAGAGTACAAAGCACCTCACTAATCAAAGAGATATTGTATTTAGGTTTCATAATCACTCGATGGAAGCAGCGATACAAAAAACAGGAGAGGGTCAAAGCAGTTGGTAGTCACCAGTTTTTTGAAGGAAAAAACAAATTCTTACTGACACAATAAGATCATTCAACAGAATCAATTTAAACAGTCTGAAGGTATTTCACATTAATATATATATGCCTAAACTGTGCTTTCAAACACTAAAACTAGCTAGTGAAAGAATAAGTGTGTACATCACGTATTCTTGTATGAAATCTGACACCTTTCGAAGCCAAAGTCTCAAGCTCTTATTTAAAGCAGCAGAAAACTCTGTACAGTCCTGTTTGGTCTTTCACACGAAACACATACGTAGGAAATTGGACAAATGAATGCCAATAATAAGATCATGCATAAATACACACAGGCGCATAGCTTATTCCACAAAGGTAAATGCAATGTGTGGTGCCTACTGACACTTTTTCCCTCACTCACTCAAAACAAAGTAAAAATGAGATGAAAAATTAAATGATGGTGGTTTCTGAGTACTTATTTTCCATCAGTAACGTTTCATTTGGCGCTCTATTTTCATAATGCGGGTGCTTATTTGAAGTCACCAGAGTTTCAGCTCAACTAGCGAAAACTCGGATGATGTCAACATAAGACAGAATTATTCTAAAAATGTGTGCTTCGTATATTTGCACAATACACTTTCAACACCTAGCCATTTAATAAGTCAGTTTTATAGGAAAATGAAGACAACTAATGAAAATAACTCATGCATCGGAAAATACTAGAAAAGCTACAGAGTAGACTGCTGAGCAGTTTGTCCATCATCACACATCATTACTGTTTCACTGTGTTATGTTAAATATTTAGAAGACAAAAGGATTGAGCGAAGAAATATTTACTTTCCAGTTAGATCTTCGTCTGTGGCTGAACTACATATATATATATATATATGCATGTATGTCTAAATTGAAATTTATTCTATAGTATATCAAATTTACGTATCTAATACGAAAGCATTACCTATATCCTTTCAGCAACAGTGACTTCATGTCACTCAGTTATTATCGGCGTCTTATAAAACTATGCACTGCAGTATACATGTGGAGGTCGAATCACAGTAGCACATAAAAAGCAGCTGTTGGAAAAAATGATGAGACATACCTGCAAAATGGGGTAAGTGGTCCAAAGTTCAGCCATAATGCAACCAGCACCCCAGATATCTACTGCTCGCCCGTAAAAACGATCATTGAGCAAAATTTCTGGCGGTCGATACCATAAAGTTACTACACGACCAGTGTAGCGAGAAGGACGGTCAGGTCTAATACATCTGGACATCAACCGGGCCAGTCCAAAGTCTGCTATTTTTAAAACACCCTCACGGTCAATTAATATATTAGATGATTTTAAGTCCCGGTGAAGAACATGGTTCCTATAAAAAAAATAGTTCCACTTGAATAACTATCTCCGTAAACTAACTTAATGAGAAAACATATGGTAATAATGAACAAAGGATAAAATAGTAGTAAGCAGTCTTATTGTAGTTCCATGACTTGCGTAATAAATATTACTTGTGCTGCCCCAGCAGCTTCTGTATAGTATATTAGACACCAACCGGGAAACCGATTTGAAGAAACAGAAAGGCAATTTTCCAGTGAAACAGTGGTATAGTTATGATGAGTTGGCTTTCAGCTACCGCATTAAAACCAAAAGGTATTACTACCCCACAGTCCAGGATACCACTAACTAGTAATCACAGATAAAACTAATAACGATTACTCAGTCTATATTCTCTGTAGGTGAGACGACAGTGACAAAATCATATGACTTCCTCTATTCCTTCCAACCACTTCCAACTGTAAACAATTTAAATAAAAGAACTTACAAAATTCTTATCTACTTCATATTAGATTAAAAAAATATTGACTTAAGAGATGACACATTTACGCTGAAATGAAATAAGTTATCAACGTAGGGAGTTGCACTGAGGTGTAGCATTCCACGTTATCACACTTCACATGGGCATATACAGAGCTAGAGAAGAGAAATGCGATGAAACCACAATAAACGGAAATGTACGCGAGGAAACATGATCATATAGAGGAAAATCAAAGCTTTCAGAATCTAGAAGATAACAATGAATACATGTGCGTTATTGGGCACGAGTTCGAATTATCACCTGTAATCTCCAACCATAGATTCTTAATATCTCTGGGACCGTAACAAGGAAGTCTACACCTTCCTACATGGCTGGATAAAAACAACAGTTCGTTATGAAACGAAATGGCTTTAGCAGTTTTCTCACATCTTCACTTGGTAAGGGAAGCAATTCATACTGTTTGCAAAGAATCTCAATTATCTCTTCAAGTGGGATGTTGATGAACAAAGAGGATATGTCGAAAGACACTAAGAATTTATTGAAGATGTTCAGACCACTAAGTTTCTCAGTAAATACTCTTGGATTTGAACTAACAAAGCTTCTCGCATATTCTACCAAACCTAACATGAATAATCAATCTTTCTGTGTTACTTGTAACTAATCATGCCATCGCAGTTCACCCAATGTTGCCTCTCTAAACTACGATCTTCATGCCGAACTCCTGCCAATAGAATAGAAAAATGTACGTCATTATTTTGTTAGCACTATGTATATTTAAGGTGTCTGCAGTTGAAGAGAAGCCTTGAAATAAGATGTGCACACTTTATTCCGCAAATTTTTTTCTCGCTTCAACCAAAAGATAACATCTGTCACTCCTCTAGGGAAACTACTAATTTCAAAACAATTTCATTAATGACCAACATCTAAGAGCGGGGAGGGTCGCACAATTACTCTGCTCAAAGACTGAACATTACTACAGAGGTACTACTTTTCTCTCTTATTGAAGGTTTAGGCATAAACGAAAATACTACGAGGTTTTCGATTTCAATAAGTAGATCGTGGTAAGAAACTTTTTTTCAAAATCGATATCTTAGATACGAAATATAAATCAGATATAAATTTACCTGTGTAAAAAGCTAAGTCCCGTAAGCAGTTGCTGCATAATGCTCTTCTTGACCGGTAGACTCAATTCAATTGCTTGAGCCAGCAATCCAGCGAGATCATGTTCACAAATGTCAAACAGAAGATAGAATTCATATCTGTAATTTATGTACAAGACTGTAAATAAATTTTCTATCAGATCACATACAGAACTTACCTCTTTTATGACAAACACCTCTTAAGCGCACAATATTTTCATGGGAAAGTGAACTCAGAATTTTGATCTCACGTAATGCAGTAACTGGAAACTAGAAACAGTGAATAATACTGCAGGTAACTTACACCTTCTGTTTCTTGTTCTATTTTAAGACGTTTTAGAGCATAAAGTTGTTTGGTAACCTTGTGACATACTTTAAATACTTCACCAAATGTTCCCTGGCCAATTTTCTGTATTCGCTCATAATCATCAACAGTGATTGTTGTTGTTTTCTTCTCTAATTCGCGGTCTACGTATTTAAGAGCGTCTGAGTAGTCAGCCTCGAGTTCTTTTAGTAATATGTCTGATTCACAGTCATCCATAGGTACCAAAATGCATTATATACAACAGTTTGGCAGCAGATCTCAATGCGTAGAGTTGTTTGGCTGAAATCAATAATTCCACAGCATAATAACGTCAAAATATGCTAAGAATATTCTTAATATCTTTAGCCACAATCTCAATTCCGAAATAAAAAAATACTCGATACGTCGCGTGAAAATCAGCAACAAGCACGGGTAATGTGAGGCTAACTTGGTAGCATGACTATATCGAATTCATGAATTACGGCAAACCCGCAGTTCGGTTGATGTCAAATATGTCAGTGAAGAGTTTGTGCATTGTGAAATAGACCAATTGGTCGCACTTGAGTAAATCCCTAATCATATTTAAATAATCTACACACCCTTCTTATTTTGGCAATTCTACTCGAAATATTGCCAAAATTTAAAAAAACTTGCTGTTACTTAACTCTTCTTAAACAATCGTTTGACAAATTATATCAACAGCCAATTCCTCTGAACACTTTTTGTATTACGTAACTCCACCAAAAACGTACTAGTCGTATCTTCATTTGACAAATTTAATGTACACACACACAAGCAAAATGACCATATATATTTGCGATTGCACAGCCGTAAAAATGAATTCGCCGAAAAGAGACTTCGCTAAACCACTGGTCTTTCTATAAAAAAAACTTGCCACAGTTCATATACTACTGAGGCAGTTATTATTTTAGACATTTACGTGCTGCGCAAATGAACTACCAGTCACTAAATGTACGGAAACTTCCAAATTTTAATGTTAACGTACATGTTTCTATTCTAAAATAACACTTAGCTAAGTCACGACTCCACATCACTCACCACCATACGCCCACAATAGATATGATTCAGATTCAGTTGATAAGGATAGAAGGCTCTTGTGGCCTGTGTTAATCCTTGTAAAATATATCTCTGCAGAGATCTAACTTGTCTTTGAAAGCGTTCACCGATGGAGCTGTTACTACTGAATCAGGTAAGGAGTCCCAGTCGTTGACCACTCTGTGAGAGAATCTAAATTCTGCACGTATTTTAATCGTTCTCGGTTTGAGCACCTTCTTGCGGTGACCCCGTAAATGTATCCTAGAAGGGGAGAAAAGTCTAGAAAGGTCAGTTCCTAAATCACCCTTAAGTATACGGTATGCTAAAATTAAATCGCCTCTCTTCCTTCGGTATGATAACGGAAAGAGATTTAAATGCTCCATCCTCTTTTCATACGGAAGGTGTGAGATACCACTAACTAATTTCGTTCCTACTCTCTGTACTCTTTCCAGGATATGTGCCTCCTTTTTGAAGCATGGACCCGCCGCTTGTACGCAGTATTGTAGATGAGGCCTGACATATGTTGCGTAGAGTATTTGGAACATGCCCTCGTCTGATCGTTTGAAAGCCCTTCGGAGTACCCAAAGCAATCGAAAAGCCTTAGCTGCGGCTGCATTGCAATTGTTTTCAAATCATTGCTGACAATGATTCCTAGGTCCTTCTGTTCGTTAACATCAGGTAGTTCCGTGTCCCCTAGGGAGTACGACGTATAGGACTTCTGACCTAGGTGCATTACCGCTCTTTTCCTAGAATTCATTTCCAAACTCCACAGGTTCGACCACTCAGCTAATTTATCTAGATCAGTTTGTAGGGCCGACCTATCCTCGTTTTCCATATCTTAATGTCGTCTGCAAATAACAATGAAGATGAAGTAAGAATCCCCGGTAGCTCATTAACATATAATAGGAATAGCAAGGGGCCTAATACAGTTCCCTGAGGCACTCCACTGGATACTGCTTTCCACCCTGAGATATATCTATGAAGTCAGAACCACTTACTTATTACAACTACTTATTCATCTTTAAACGCATAGAACCACCAAAAAATGAAAACTACAACTCTTTCAAAATCTGGAATTCAAAGGAACTAACAGAAAAAACAACCTGCCACGGTGATTGGTAAACGCTATTTTGGAACCACGTCTAGGTCGTGGGTTTGACAAGGTCACCCTGAATTCGAAATTGTCAAGGACAGCCTTTCCAATGTCCAGTATTTTCTCAACAAGCCTGTATAAACCACATTATTTGGTGACATTCACTTTTCAAAGTGGATCGCACTACAATCTCTCCTCATGAAAGGTATGGCTCATCTAGGTGCAACAAAAGCAGATTTCAGATTTATTGGTTGAGGATAGAAGGCTTGGAGCCTATGTTAATCCTTTTCTAGTAAATTTCTGTGGTTGTCCAAACCCTTCTTGAACGAATCAATTGAGGTTGCAGACACCACTTCTTCTGGGAGTCGGTTCCAAGAGTTTATGACTCGGTGTGAGAACCAGTACTCAACAGCAATATGATTTCTTCTTTGCTTTTGAACTCTATTGCTATGTCCTCTAAGGTGTTCCGACCTGGTGGGAAGGAAAAGAGAAAATAGGTCAGGTCCGTAGTCATTATTTAAAATTTTAAACATTGTGATTAAATCTCCTCTCTGCCTACGGTATGACAAGGAGAAGAGATTTAAACTGTCTAGTCTTTCCTCGTATGATAAGTTAGTCATGCCATGAATCATACGTGTTGTCTTCCTTTGAACCCTTTCTAGAATCAGTGAGTCCCCTTTTAGACAAGGGCTGGCGGCCTGGATGCAGTTTTCCAGTCTTGACCTCACCAGAGATGTATATAAGGAGGTGAACATATCTCTGGTGATTCTAGTGAAGGCTCTACGAATTGCCCATAATAACCTGAAACTACGTGCAGCCACCACGCGACAGTGAGCTGTAGTTTTTAAGTCGTGGCTAACTATGACACCTAAGTCCAAGTGAGTCTGAACTGATGGAAGTGTAATTCCCTCTAGTTCATAAGAGCTCGTGCTTGCTTGTCCAATGCTCATGGTTGCACATTTTGCCACGTTTATCGGGAGCATCCATTCTATGGACCACTCTGACAATTTGTTGAGGTCCTCTTGAAACGTGGACGTGTCACTGTTGCCCTTCAGCTCTCTCCAAATTTTTGAGTCATCTGCGTATAGGACCATAGGGGAATCGGTGAGCAGAGATAACTCATTGATATACAAAATAAATAGGAGAGGTCCAAGTACCGTGCCTTGTGGCACTCCGCTGCGTACTGCTGTCCAAGAGGAGAGTTTCGAGTTGATCCTAACCCTCTGCCTCCTATCTATGAGGGATTCCCTGAGCCAGTTTAGTAAGCTGCCTTTGATACCAAGACTTTCCAACTTCATGAGTAGTCTTTTGTGAGGTACTTTATCAAAGGCTTTGCTGAAGTCTATGAAGACGACGTCAACGGGTCTTCTGTTGTCCCTGGATTTGACCCAGCTTTCTCTTTCAGTGAGAAGATTTGACAGGCATGAGAGGTTCCTTCGGAAGCCATGCTGTGCTCTTGATAATAAGCTTCTATTTTCTAGATATGCCATTATGCTTTTCTTGATGATTCTCTCCTGTGTATTAATTAAAGTGCTGGTGAGACTGATAGGCCTGTAATTTGAAGGGCTTTGTCTTGATCCTCCTTTGTGGATGGGGGTTAATATGGCGACTTTCCAGTCACGCGGTAACACTCCATTTTGGAGAGAAAGCTTGAAGATCGTAGTCAAAGGGCCGGCTATATGGGCTGGTATTCGAATTAACAAAAAAACCACGTCTTTGGTGGATGGATAAGAAGTGCCTGGGAAAAAAATAAAACTTGAGGTCAATTTTCATACATAACTTCGTTGTGTGCAGAATCCTTGAATTATAGTTCATTGATGTGTTATTTTGAAATCAGTGATATGTTTATCTCATTTGATCTGCAATGACATTGTTGGGTGTAAATACATAAGCTTCAGACGCATTAATTAATGGATTTCTACTGCTTGTGGGTATTTTCTTATCGTGAGGAAGGTTTATGAATTTCAGCTGTTCCGACAGGAGTTAAGAATATTAACTGCTCAGCAACATTATGGATACAAGTTCATCACATTATCTAAGGAAAGGTGGGTTGCAGTTGGTGAGGGATATATGGTGCCCAACGAGCGTACATCTGTCCATGTGATGTTGTGGTGAGTTATACCTTTTTCATGTTGTCGGTTTATGTCCATTTTATTCCACTTATTGTGTTGGGTAGTAGTTTTACAAACGAGATTTCTTGTCTGTTTGAGGATACGTATCTTAACCGTTAATGTTTTATCTAGAATTATAAATATAGACAAAAAACAACAGGTGTAGTATTTAAGCTTATACATTAAATGGACCTATAATTTCGGAGGCTCTCAGATAGGAACTAGAACTACTACCGTTTGCAAACTCTTGTATTTCGTCATAAAGCAACATTTTGAAGGAGGCCAATGTACTTGCTTGACGCATTTCCATTGGTAGTTCATTCCATATCTGTGCATACATAATCAAGTAAAAGTTTTGCCTGGTGGCGGCTATTTCCTGCTCCTCTAGGTAGCTTGCTAATGCATCTGTGTCGTCTAATTACGTATCGACAATTACTTTCGCGATTAGTACTCACGCGTACCCATACAGGGACTTAAGAGAATGGAACGGAAGGACTGTGTGAAAGATCTCACAAAATCTCAGCATTGCTGGTTCAATTAGAGGCGTAAAACAATCAGGTTACTTGTTAGTTTTTTCTTGCAACTCTCCATATTCATTTACATAATGTAAGCAACCCTCATCTTCACACTCGTTAACTAGTGTGTGAACATTCTGTACACTGATATCAAAATCGTTTCAGGTTGTTTGTAGTTGACGAAGACCGAAGGGATAAGACGATATCATACCGTCCCGATCGATTTGTTGCATTTTTTTAGTTCATTAGGAAGAGAGAATCTGTGAAGGTTAATTTTTGATGGGGGATAAATCCCATGGAAAATTCACCTCCACCGTGGTAACAGAAGCGGAACGAGTATGTAACCATCCAAATTTGACAGCTGCTAAAGCCGAAATCATCTACGCATAGTCACAAAGCACTAATGCTACCTGGCATAGTTTTTAAAGAACAGTTAAACAAGTGTTTTCCTTACCGAAGGCC